TATTATTGTATTGGCTTGGCCTACCCATGAGCAATTAATATTTTTCCAATTGTTCAGATCTTAACAAAATTTACTTATTCCATGCCATACCAATTAATGAAAATAAATGTGAAGGAAGTGGTCTAGCTGTACCAGATCTCAAACTGTATTATAAAGCAACAATCATCAAAACAATCTGGTATTGGCTAAGAAATAGAGCAACAAATCAGTGAAATGGAGTACATACACAATACACAGGAGTAAATGACCATGGTAATCTAATGTTTGCTAAGCCCAAAGAGCCAAGCTTTGGGGACAAGAACTCATTATTTGACAAAAACTGCTGGGAAAACTGGAAAGCAGTTTGGCAGAAACTGGGCATAGACCAACATTTTATACCAGATACCAAGATAAGGTCAAAATGGGTACATGATTTAGGCATATAGGGTAATACCATAAGCAAATTAGGAAAGCTTGGAATAGCATACCTGTCAGATCTATGGAGAAGGGAAGAATTTAGGACCAAACAAGAGGCAGAGAGCATTACAGGGTATAAAATGGATGATTTTGATTACATTTGTGCAAACAAAACCAATGCAACCAATATTAGAAGGAAAACAGAAAGCTGGGGGAAAATCTTTACAGCAAGTATCTGATAAAGACCTCATTTCTAAAATATGTAGAGAACTGAGGCAAATTTATAAGGATACAAGTCATTCCCCAATTGATAAATGGTCCATGAATATGAACAGGCAGTTTTCAGATGATGAAATTAAAGCTATTTATAGTCATATGAAAAAGTACTCTAAGTCATTATCGATTAGAGAAATGCAGATTAAAACATCTCCCAAGTACCACCTCACGCCTATCAGATTGGCCAATATGACCAAAAAGGAAAATGATGAATGTTGGAGAGGCTATGGGAAAATTGGGACATTAATGCTCTCTTGGTGGAGTTGCGAACTGATCCAGTCGTTCTGGAGAGCAATTTGGAACTATGCCCAAAGGGCTATAAAACTGCATACCCTTTGATCTAGCAATAGCACTACTAGGTCTGCATCCCAAAGAAATTTTGAAAAGGAAAAGGACCTATTTGTACAAAAATATTTATAGCAGCTTTTTTTGTGGTGGCAAAGAATTGGAAATTGAGGGGATGCCCATCAATTAGAGGATGGCTGAACAAGTGGTAGCATATGATTGTGATGGAATATTGTTGTGTTATAAGAAATGACAAGCAGGATGCTCTCAGAAAAACCTGGAAAGACTTACATGAACTGATGTGAAATGAAATGATCAGCATCGGGAGAACAGTGTGCACAGTAACAGCTATACTGTAATGACAATTAACTCTGAATGACAGCTATTTAGATCAATACAATTATCTAAGACAATGCTATCCACCTCCAATGAGAGAGAACTGATGAACTCTGAGTGCAGATTGAAGCACACTTTTTTTCACTTCCTTTATTTTTCTTGCTTTTTCCCCTGCATATGACTAATGTGGAAATATGTTTTGCATGATTTCATATATAGAATGGGCATTATATTCTTGCCTTCTCAATGTGTGGGGAAGGGGTGGGGGGGGTATTTGGAACTGAAAATGAAAATTTAAAGAAAAAAAGAAAAAGAATCCTAAGCCTTCTAGACTCATTCAAAATCCCTGTCCTTCATTAGGCCTTTCCTAATACCCCTTTCCCACCCTCTGCTCAAAAATTACCTTTTATTTATTTGTTTAAATTTTGTATTTATTCATATGTATATATGCTGTCCTTTCCCACCCCTAAAATGTAATGGGGGGGAGGTGCATCTCCTGTGCCCAGTGCAGTGTCCAGTACATTGTAGGGGCTGAATCAATGCTTCTTGCTTGATTAATCTGCCTGTGCCTCCATTTTCTCATCTATAAAATTGAGATCAGATCAGTAGTTTTTCACAGGGCTGTGAGATTCAAATTTGTTGTTCAGTCACGTCCAACTCTTCGAGACCCTGTGGATCATACTGTCCATGGGGTTTTTTCAGCAAAATGCTGGAGTGATTTGCCATTTCTTCTCCAGCTCATTTTACAGATGAGGAAACCGAGGCGAACAGGGTGACTTGCCCAGGATCACACAGCTAGTGCTTGTCTGAGGCCTGATCTAAATTTAGGTCTTCCTGAATCCTATCCCAGTCCTCTATCCACTGCGCCACCAGCCATCATGACCACTATTATCATTGTTATTACGCTCGTTATTATTGTTATAATCATCACCATCACCCCTACATTCTGGAACAGCTGTGAGAACCTGGTTAATGTTGTTTTGGCAATGGGTAAAAAAAAAGTATGTGCCCTTTGCTGTCTCCAGATGGAAAAGTAAACTCTTGAGTTCAAGCAACAGCTGAGGAAATAGTTACCCATTCTGGAAATACCACGGACGTTTTTTGTCTTGAGTTTGAAGTTAGAAACCTCATCAACTTTCAGATCATCTTCCCCTTTTTTTTTCTTCTCAGTTGAATTACAGTGGCTGGGCAATATTCTTCCCTTCTGCCTTCACCTACTTACATGGTCTCTCTGTCTCTCTGTCCTTTCTCTCTCTCCTCTCTCTCTCTCTTCTCTGTCTTCTCTCTCTCTCTGTCTCTCACACACATACACACACACATACCCCTTTCCCTTATGAATAAGGTATTCTACTACTAGTATTTTCCTTGTTTTAATTTTACAAGATTTTTGCAACCAGATAATGAAAAAGAACTCTTACCCTCCCTGGAATTGGAGGCTATGGTTTGTCTAAGGCTCCGGTGTGAGGCGGTTAAGGAATTTTGATTCATGGAGACTCTTGACTCACCGTCCCATGCCCTCTGTGCCTGCCCCCATCCCCACTTCACATGATCTGAAGCACGACAAGCCCATGCCAGAGGAGTAGGTTTCAGTGTCCCATTTCCAGCTGCTTCTAATATTAGGATTTCCCAACAGCCTCTGCTCAGTATCATTTTGTGCCCTGTGATGACAGCCATCCCCCTCTCCCCAACTTTTAAGGAGAACGTAAATGTTTTTGATGTTTTGTTTTTTTATAATACATTTCTCATATTTCCAAATAATTCCCTTCCACATCCAGAAAGGCATCCCTTGTTACAGAATAAATGAGAACAGCAAAAGGATTTTCGCAAAACTAGCCAATCTTTCAACCAAATTTGATACTGTATATACCCACCTTTGCCAAGAAGGGAGGCAGAGGTATGTTTTCTCATCTTTCCTTTTTCTTTCTTTTACATTTTATTGATATCTCTTGTTTTTACATCACCTAGATTTTCTTCTAAATCCTGCTCCCAATAGGGTCATCCCTCCTAGCATGGATTTTTTTTTAAACAGAAGAGAAAAAAAATTAACAAAACCAATAAACTAATTGGAAAAAAGCTGACATTTATACTCAATATTCCATACTTGCATATACCTCTACAAAGGACTAGGCAAAGGAAGCTAGTTGGGTAGGAATCTTTTCTTCATATTTCTGCAAAATTCAGTAACTTTTTCTTTGGAGAGAAGCTTGGTCATCATAATTACATAATATTGAGTTTAGTTGTTTCTGTGGTTTAAGTCATAGTGGATCTACTTAATTCAATTTGCATCAGTTCATTTAAGACTTTCTAGGTGTTTCTGAATTCTTCCTCTTCAGCATTCCTTATGTGGTAACGGATGTATAGCCATTCCCACTTGGTCCAAAGCAGCCTGATGCTAGTGGAAGCTTGGGTGTTGTTGCCCAGTGTGATCAAGCTTTGAGAGGGAGCTGTGCCTTCCAACCCCAAGTAACTCGTCTATCCTCACAAATGCCTCTTTACCTTTGGGCAGAAAGGCTGTTCCTTCAGATCAAGAATCACTTTGAATGAGTTCAGGCCTGTGGTTACCACTGTAGGCTTAGGTGGAGTGAGAGAAGAGGGTGCACCACTTGATAGGCTGAGGCTGTTAGCCAAGCTCTTTAAGTAGACTTAGATGTCAGGGCCTCTTTAGATAGCTGGCTGTGTGTTTTGTGATTTGAAAGGCAATGTAGTATAATGGGTATATAATGTAGTATAACGGTAAAAAGCCAGCCTTGGAGTTAGAAGACCTGTGTTCAAGTGTTGCCTCCGATGAGGCAGCTAGTGGATAGAGCGCTGGGCCTAGAGTCAAGAAGACAACCTGAGTTCAAATCTGGCCTCAGACACATTAGCTGTGTGACCCTGGGCAAGTCACTTCACTCTGTTTGCCTCAGTTTCCTTATCTGTAAAATGAGCTGGAGAAGGAAATGGCCGACCACTCCAGTATCTCTGCCAAGAAAACCCCAAATGGGGTCATGAAGAGTCAGACATGACTCAACAATATATGCTGGCAATTTCACCCTGGGCAAGTCACGTAGCTCTCAGTTGACCCAGAAAACTCCCTAAGACCCTAAATTGCAAAGCAGGTGCTGAGCTGCATTGGTACAAGGGGAGAGTTTCCCCAGTGGGAATTTCCCATAACAATTAATCAGTCAGCATTAATTAGGCACCTACTATGTGCCAGGCACTGTGCTAAGTACTTTATACCAATGAAGTAGCAGATCAGGTCCAATGAAATCAAATGTAGTGGTTGAAAGTTTTCAAAGTGTTTTCTCCACAACAGCCCCATGAAGTATCCTATTCCTGCTCTGCAGATGAGGAAACTGAAGGTCAGGTAGACGAAATGAAATAAAAAATTTCAATACGATATACAGCCTGACTGCAGAAGACCATGCTAGGTGCTGGGGAAATACCAAGTTATTTAAGACATGGCTCCTGTCCTTAAGGAATCAAAGGGATGAAGCAGAGAGATGACAGTCATCCACTATTACATGAGAAGTGTATTAGAGATTTACAAAATAAAGTGCCATAGAGGGGCTGAGGGAAGGCATTGGGGTTGCATAGGAGGGAGAATCAGGGAAGGCTTCCTGGAGGTGGCATTTGAGTTGAGCTTTAAAGTATGGTAGAGGGCAGCTAGGTGGCACAGTGGATAGAACACCGACCCTGGATTCAGGAGGACCTGAGTTCAAATCCAGCCTGAGACACATAACACTAGCTGTGTAACCCCAGGCAAGTCACTTAACCCCATTGCCTAACAAAAATAAAGTATGGTAGAAAATGAACAGAGGAGGAGCCCCAACTATGCTATAGATGACCTTAATCCTGAAATAATAATCTCTGTGAGAATGCCTATTCTAGCATCTCTCTTCCATTTCCCTAAAGTCCTCCTGCTGCCTAAATCATGAAATTTTCTAGCACCCTTCTTTTGGAAACTAATGGGGAGTGAGGTGGGCATGCTCTGACACACTGTGGGCAGGCAAGCTGGATTAAGTCAAGAGACCTGGGTTGGAATTTTGCCTGAGACATTTGGTAGCTATGTGACCTTCACTTCTCTGATCCTGCTTACTCATCTGTAAAATGGGTATAATAATACTTGGACTACCTACCTCCAAGCATTGTTGTGAGGAGGGCATTACATAAGTATCATTATTATTTCGTCCTAGGTGAGTGGTTGTCTCAGGTGAGGAGTTAGCAAGGGCTGGTGTTAGATAGGAATAGTACTACCAGAGGGGTTAAGTATTGCTGAGGGGGGATCGAGGGGCTAGAGCAGCAAGGTGTCCTTGAAAGAGTATTAGGCATTCCATTGCTCAAAAAAGGAAATTTTCAAAGGAGAGATCCAAGTTATCAACAAGCATATTAAAAAATGCTATCAATCATTAATTAGAGTTACAGAAAGTAAAGCAACCTGGGGGGGGGGACGACACTTGGGTTGGAGTCTAAAAGTGCTGAGGAGGCAGAGTGTCTTCAGTGGGGCTGAGCAGAGTCCTGGGAGACCAACTAATGGGTTTGGAGAATACCAAAAGTGAAATGGGGGAGGGGGTGAGGACAGACTGTGTAAGGATCTCAGGAACAAGACTGAGGAGGGGATCCAGGAAGTAAGCTTAGGGAACTGTCCAAGCTAACAGAGAGGATGTGAGAGGGGGCTTCAGTCTCCAAAGGGGGAGGTGACCGAATTCAGGGGAAGAGCAGAAGGCCTGGGAAAGGAGCGGAAGAGTCAGAGAATCCCTAGACAAGTGCTAAGAGAGCCAGGAAGGTGGGAGTGTCCCTAGGAGGACGGTGCGGGTCAATGGGGACTGGGAGGTCAGAGTGTCCGGAGAGAAAAAGCAGGGGTGGGGTTGGGGAGGGGACGCCTAGCAGGGCTACGAGGCCAGGAAAAGCCATGGGATGAGCGAGAGGGGTTGGGGTCCCAGGATTTGAGTTGAGGAGCAGGAAGGCCAAGGTGTCCCTGGGGAAACGACTAAGGGGACCTGGAAGGTCAGTGTCCCAGGAGCAGCACCAAAGGGGCAGCTGGGAACAGGGAGTTTGTAGTGTCCTGCGGACTGGAGAGGCGGACGTGTTGGGCGGGTGCTAAGAGAGCCAGGAAGGTCACAGTGTCCAGGGAGCCGGTGGGATCGAAGGCTCGAGGGGTCCCAGGTGCGAAGCTGGGGGTCCCTAGGCAGTCCCTAGGGAGAGTGGGAGCCCCAAGGTCCCGGGAGCAGGTCTAAGGGGCCCGAATATCCGAGGCTGAGGGTCCCAGGAGAGGACCAAGGGGCCCCAAGTGTCAGAAAGCTCCCAGGAAGGGAGCTGGGGTCCCAGACAGACTAGAGGAGTGGGAGCCCCCAGGTCCCGGGAGAGGTCTAGGGGGCCCGAGTGTCCGGGGCTGAGGGTCCCAGGAAGGAAGCTCCCACCCTCGGGGAGTGGCTCCAGGAGCCCCCCGGTCACGTCGCGGTCCCGGGTCGCGCGGTCCGGTCCCGGGCAGGCGGGGCGGAGCCGAGCCGCCGCTCTCCTGACATCAGTTCCTGCCGCCCGGCGCGGCTCCTCCCCCGCCGCCGCCGCGGCCGCCGCGCCTGCCCTCTCTCCCGGCCCGGCCCGCTCCCACGAACCGCCTGCGCGGAGCCCCGGGCCCGGGGCGCGGGCGGCGCACGCAGCAGCGCAGGGCGGCGCGGGGCGGCCGCTCGGAGCCGCCACCACGGAGCCCCCGGGCGGCGGCTGGAGGCAGCGGGAGCCGGAGCCGGAGCGGTTGGCGGCGGGGGCGGCCCGGCGCGGGAGGAGACGGCGCGGCGTCGGCGGCGGCGGCGGCGGCCCCGGTCCGGGCACCGGCAGCGCCTCCGGCACCATGGAGCCCGGCGAGGTGAAGGACCGCATCCTGGAGAACATCTCTCTGTCGGTGAAGAAGGTAAGCGCGCCCCCCACCCAGCCGTCGGGGCCCCCGCGGTGCGACCCCCCAACGCCAACCCCCTGCCCTCTCCGTCGAGCCTGGCGAGCCCCGGGTCCTGCCGGGCCCCCCCTGCATCCCCCAAGAAGTTCCTGGGGGAGCCTCGCCCCACCTCCAGCCCCAAACGCTTCTCCTGCCCAATGACATCACCCTGTCCCCTTCAGCCAGCTGGGGCGGGGGGCGGGAGGGGCTGGCTCCGCCTCCGTCCCCCCTTCCCAGCCCCCCACCCCCACCTGGGCTGTGGCCTAGAGGGGAGCAGACTCACCTGAGCCCCCCGGATCCCATTGGCTCTTGAAAGAGCGGAGTTCAGATCAGCGTCTTCGCAGTGTTGAAATGACAGCTCCGGGGGACAGACGGGTCACCCACCCCACCCGGCCTGGTCTCCCCTTAGGTTCAGGTGCCTTGCCTTGGCTCAGTGGGGATGACTGACAAGACCTGCCCCTGCCCCCTGTCAAGCCCTTCCCAAGCTCGGGACCCCATCCGCCGTGGGTGCCCTTTTTGGGGACCCTGTGGTTTCTAGGGTGGTGGAGTCTGGAAGGACTCTTGGCTTCAGTGACAAGTCAGAGGGCCCCCCCCCCTTCTCATCCCGCTGCTGCTCTGCTCTGATGGGACTTCCCTAAATTCACCTTGCTGAAATGGCTCAGGGCTATTTGCCTCTCGGGTATATTTTAGGACATTCTTTGGGGTGTGACCAACCAGCGGAGCCCTTCTTGGGGAAGAGTTTTAATTAGAAGCACCCTTTTCTTTTCTTTTTCCTCCTCCTGTTTCCAGCTAGAACGTTTATGGTCATAGCTGGTTGGGGGATGGAGTAGGCTGCCTGGAAAAGGGTCCCAGAGGGCCAGCTGGCTTTAGTTCAGCTGCGAATGCCCCAGGCTGGAGAATGGCAGTTGGTGGAGCTTGTATCAGAAGGGTGGACTTCTTCCCAGGGTCTCCATCAACCTTCTCCAGATTTGGTGACAGCCCCACTAATTAAGGAATTGAAGCTGAGGAAGGGGCTGGTGGAGAAGAGAGGGAGCCAGCCAAATGACCCATTTTTTCTCAGCCCCAAGTGCCGGGCGTGCAGGAACACCCAGCATCTTGGTGCCAGGGGAAATGCCCTGGATGGGTGGTGGGGCCTTGGGTTCTGCCCCTGACACCTCTGATTGCTCATTTGTAAAGTGAGGTTGGTCAGACAGAATGGCTTCTGCTAGGTTTGAATCTCTGACTGGAGGAGGAAGAGAACTGAACGTGCTTCTTTTAGACAGGGTGTATTCTTCCTTTCACTCTAGCCCGAATTTAAATAAATCACTTGAAAATTTAACCGTCAGAGAAAACTGGGATTTCTGTTCTTAAAAAGTTGATTTCAGAATGAACTATCAGTATTAATAGTCTTGTCAAGTTTCACTTTTAAAAGTATACGCTCAGTTTCTTCATCTGTGAAATGGGTTACCAGTAGTACTTAGCTTCCAGGGTAGTTGTGAGGTTATCCAGTGAGATAACCTATGGGAAGTGCTTTGCAAAACTTAAAATGCTGTAGAAATGCTAGTTGTTGTCATTTTTTATTTATTCATAATGATATTATTTATTCTTATAAATAAAAATATTGATTATTATTGAGGCAGCTAGCTGACACAATGGATAGAGAGCACTGGGCCTTGAGTCAGGAAGACCTGAGTTCAAATCCTGCCTAAGCCTGGTATGTAGTAGGTGCTATATACATGCTTATTCCCTTCCCTTCTGTTATCCTTATTAGTATTGTGCCTGGTATGTAGTAGGTGCTATATACATGCTTATTCCCTTCCCTTCTATTATCCTTATCAGTATTGTGCCTGGTACGTAGTAGGTGCTATATACATGCTTATTCCCTTCCCTTCTATTATCCTTATCAGTATTGTGCCTGGTACATAGTAGGTGCTATATACATGCTTATTCCCTTCCCTTCTGTTATCCTTATCAGTATTGTGCCTGGTATGTAGTAGGTGCTATATAAATGTTTATTCCCTTCTATTATGATGATGATGACCATCGTTAACATTGCTGTTACTATTACAGTCATAATTGTTGTTGTTGTTATTTTACTGGTGAGATTAGCCTCATCCTGCTCGACCTCAGTGGGGAGAGCCTGGAGTGGTTGGCTGCCCCAGGAGGGGAGGTGGGGTTGCTCCTCTTCTGTGGTCTTTTAGTTCCTGTTGTCCAGGAGATTAAGGCAGACTGTTTCAAGAAGTCAGGAAGACTCTGCCCTCAGGACTCTTGCTGACCCTGTGACCCAGGTGGCAAAGCATTTCACCTCTCTGAGACTCAGTTTCTTTATCTGTAAAATAGGGAACATGACAGCCTGGGCCTCACAGGCTTACAAAGGAGTAAAGGATTGAGCCTTTTACTACTGGGCAGGGCTTCTCCTGGTGAGCTTGAGGGGAGATGTGGGCCAGTGTCCAGCCAGGTTGGCTGGTCTGGGTGGGTTGGGATCTGCACTATAGGATGAAGGGACCCAGCGTCACTGAGATGACCGATCCATTTGATGGTTCTTATGATGATTGTTTTCTGTAGGTCCAGCCTGTACGAGGTGACCCCTGGGTCCCTTCCAACCTGGATGTTCCGTGTTGTTTTTTGTTTTGTTTTGCCCCTGAGCAGGACTAAATGTGATGCCTGGTTTTGATAACGGTGCCTGATTTTTGCTTACCCAGGAAAGGCTGAAGGAACAAAGCACTCTGTTAAAAGCAATAAATCTTTTGAATAGAAGAGAAAGATGGACTGCTGACTTTTCTGATCTTATCTATGCCAGTAATGGCAGCATTCCGGGAGGTCAGGAAGTTTGTCAATCGTTTCTAATATGTGTTTGGAGTCATGGGGGTTGGTAGGAGGACGTCACCCATAAAGACGTGATGGAAAGGAAGGCGATGGCCTGATTCTGGAGGCCCAAGACATGGGTGCGGATCCTGGCTCTTACTCCAGCCGATTCCCTCACCTTCCTTGTGCCTCAGTTTCCTTATCTGGAAAAAAAAAACCAAATGGGTTGGACCAGATGACCTTCTGAGGTCCCTTCCAGTTCTCAGTCTAAAATGCCGTGAGCCCATAAAATAGGTTATGTAAGAATGTTGCCCAGTGAGACCATCAGGCAACATGCAGGCTTCCTCCAGCAACTATCTTGGCCATCTGGTCAGGTGTATACTGACAACAATAGCCAACATTTATAAAATGCTTTAGGTTTTGCAAAGTGCTTTACCATTATCATGTCATTTGACCTCCTGGACAACCCTGGGATCATGGGATCGTAACAAAATCTAGAGCCGAAAAAAACCCTAGAAACCGTCTAGCCCTACCCCTTGATTTTACAGATGGGGAAACTGAGACTTATAGAGACGAGATAACTTGCCTAAAGTCACATAAGTGACTATAGCCAGGTGGGGAAATGGATAGAACACCTGGCCTGGGTCAGGAAGACCTGAGTTCAAATCCAGCTTCAGACACTTACCAGCTGTGTGTCCCTGGACAAGTCACTTAACCTCTGTTTGCCTTAGTTCCCTCAACTGTAAAATAGGGATAATAATAGTCCTTACCTCCCAGGGTTATTGTGAGGGTCAAATAAGATAATATTTGTAAAGTAGTTAGTACAATGTCTGGCGTGGTGCTATATAAGTGTTAGTTATTATGATTATTTATAATTAGCTCTATTAAATGGCATTAACTTTATTAAATTTATAATAAATAATATATTAATAGATAAATAATAAACTAAATTTATTAAATTTGTAATCAGCTGTATTAAATGGCAGGTGCACGATTTGAATCCTGCTCTTACTCTTTCCACTGTGCTGTGCTGACTAGGTGCAGATAATGCGGTTGTTGGGCTGTGACTACCCCGTTTTGCAGATGGAGAAACTGAGGTTCCGAGAGGTGAAATGGCCCGCTCAGAGTCACATGGGTAGCAAGTCTGTGAGGAAGGATTCAAACCCACATCCACTTGACTCCAGGCCCAGCGTTACTTCCCCTAGCCTAGACCATCCTTTGGAGACAGGCGTTGTCCCAGGTACCTGAAGGCCTGGGTCTCTTTTCTGAGACGTGGGGCTCCGCTACCGTCTGTTTAAGAAAGCCCGCTCTGTGGGCTGCTGTTGCTACTGTTTAGAGAATGGGAGCAAAGCAGAGATGGAGAGGTGGTATGTGCTCCCGAAAGCAGGGGTATCATTGTGCCTAGGGCTGAGCATAGAGCCTGTGCTCGCCAGCTTTGTCTGACTGTGCTGTCTGCCTCCCACCTCCCTACCGAATGTAAGCTTGCTGGGGGCAGGGACTGTTTCATGTTTTGGTTTTTGTATTCCCAGTACAGTTCTCGGTACATCGTAGGTACTTGATAAATGCTTATTGATTGTTTGAATTATTGACACCAGAGGTGCTTAATCATCGTTGCCCATCTGGGCTGCATCAGCTGTTATATGTCCCTCTTGGAGGTAAATGATGATTAAATTTCAGGATCTGGAGTTGGAGGGGACCATCCACAGGTCATCTAGCCTGGCTCTTCCATTTTGCTAGTGAGGAAACTGAGGCCCAGGGAACTTAAGAGATAAGTGTAATAAATCTAAGAGGTGGAATTTGAACCCAGGACTCCAAAGCCAATGCTTGTTTCTTCTGTACCACGCCAGTGCCTGAAAGGTTTCTAACTCCTACTCTGCTTCAGTCAGACCCTACCTGGGCTGATTGTATTCTTTTCATTTGTAAAATGGAAGGGGTCAGACTCAATGACTTCTGTGTTACAACCTGATGATGCCCTAAACTAGACTGTGGGCTCCATGAGGACAGGGATGCCCACCTTATCTACGTTTTGGATGGCCTGCAGGGCCCAGCACACAGTTGGTGCTTAATACGTGTTTGCTGTGTTGAAAAGAGGCATCAGAGAAGTCTCAGTGGAGTTGCCTCCATCAGATGAGAACATCAATTTGGTGACTG